TGCTTGTTCTTTGCCCAGTGCTGTCTTTTCAGAGCAGCAACACTCATATTCTCCTTTCCGATGCCATCTTGTCTCAACAATGTGGCGTGATGCAAAACGTGAAAAATATCTCACGGAAATTAAAGCCAAAAAAAACAATAGAGAAAAACAAACAAACAAGCTAAAAAGACCCCTCCAACTAACACAAAAACTCCCAACAAAAACAGACTGTTCATCAACAAATGATCTTAACGTCGGAACGCACACAGCTCAAAAGCCATTATTTCTTTAAAAAGCTTCGAACAAATGTCATGAAGAAATTGTTCCAGAGCAGAATAATGATAACATTTCTCCTGTTTGTCTCCCGTTAATACTCTTGGCAATGGGGTTTAGAAACGTTGGCTGCTGATTAATTCGTTTTATGAGCGACGTAAAACGGAGAAATTCGTAGCCAATACAAGAAACACATAATGTGGTACAAAGCTATAAGCTTTGAAAAACGAATCAACGTAATAACTCATTCAGGGGAAAACGAGTATTTTCAATTTCTGATTGCACACCATCCTCACAAATACTGATTTCGCTTTGCTTTTAAGCTTTCTATCTTCCATGGTCCGAAACGTTTTGTTTGCTGCACATCGTTATGCATTGCAGGTCTTTTCTTTCAAAACGTTGAACTGCATCTTGTAACATCGGTATTTTCTCGATTTGTTTGTTGTTTTATTAACTTAGGCAAACACATGGCTCTATTTCTATATATCCTCACGCATCAACAAACTAGTCTGTCGTTTCTCACACGTGATAAGAAACCTTTTTTGCCTTGACCGCCTCTCACCCCCGCCTCTCCAATCCATTGAGACATGAAGTTAAAATTAGCTTTTCATTGACGTCACTAATCTGAGGCACGTTGACATGATGTAGTCAGACTGACAAGCATTGTCACAGCTCTGTCGGACGCTAAAAGACACTCCACAAGAGCTTACACTGAGGGTGGTGAAGCCTTCTGGATGGATGGGCGAACACATTGGAAACCATACCGACTATAACGTTATCCTCTATACAGCTCCACTTTCATCTTACCAGCGAGTATATTTTTATCCCAACTGAACTCATTAACCTTGCTTAGGACTGACGTCACCGGAAGCGCCAGGATGAGAGAGGCCATTACAACGCAATAATACAAAGGCTTTTGATGTTTCTCCTCTCTCCATGCCTGTCCCTTATTATTCATAGCTTCCTCTGAGCACATGACTGATTAACTTTAACTGAAAATGAGACTGAAGGCGCAGTAGAACGGAACTGATTTTTGGGTATGGGTTTATTGTCCTGCAACACGAACATGGACAATCCCGGAGTTGGGAAAGCAGCTGAAACATCACTAAATATAAATACACGTAAATGTACTAACATTGCTTTTAAAATAGCTTTTAAAGGCTTCATCACCTATTGATGTGAGCTTCCAAAAGAACTCGCAATCTAAACCTTATTTTCAAACAACTGCACCACGTAAAAATCATCACTGGTTACAGAATCAGAATTTACTTGGACGGAAAGAAAAAATAATCATGGTCAACATCTTGTTTGAAACACAAGATATTTAGTAAAAGCTCAGAAAAGTCCCAAGCAAAAACCTAACTAAAATTAACAAGAGCAAAATATTCTCTTCTGTCTGTCTGTCTGTCTGTCTGTCTGTCTGTCTGTCTGTCTGTCTGTCTGCCTGCCTGTCTGTCTGTCTGTCTGTCTGTCT